CGCCGCGGCTGTGCGGGAAGCGCCTTTCCCGGGCTGCTGCCGGGTTCGGGAATTTCGTTTTTAACTTAAAGACAAAAGCAACTCACATTTGCGTGGCTGTTCCTTTCCGGAGCCGTCCGCAAAGAAACGGAAGTAGTCCTTTGGGGCAAGAACGTACATTTTTAGCCTCCCCGCCCCCCGAAAGGACACAAAAAGTTGCTCGAAATGCCCCGAGCCGGCTTCGAAATCTTCCGGGCGGCTGGAGCAGAGAGCCCTAACGTTTTGAAAGCTTGGAATTGCGTTCCCGATAAAAATCCTGCAAGTACTGCTCAGTCGTCCTGAGCAAACTTCAAGCGAAGTCGCTCCAGCGCGAATACAAGGGGCAGAGCTGAGCTTTGGGAGAGGGGCGCGGGGGAAGGAGAGCAGCGGGGGCTGCGTCCAGCGCCGTCGGGTCGGGCCGGGCGGTTTCCCCGCGGGTTGCTGCTTGTCTGCTCGTCCGGCTACGCGGTGTTGCGATTTTATGCCGTAGTTAAAAATGCGGGGAAAACAAATGTTTGTTTAAAAAAAATATCGACCGGTTGCTCTAAAGCGCATTAATTATTCAGGGTAGATCTATACTTGCTTCGTGTCAAAGTCAAAGGGATCGCGCGGTCGCCCTGGGAGGCGAAAGCAAATAGCGATGAATTTTAAAAACAAAATGCAAGTGCTTGAGATTTACCGGGAAAAAAGGGAAGAATGCTGTAAGGAAAAAAATAAAGGTGACGACCGTAGGGTAGGGAACAGCATGCTGTCTAAATTCCGGCGAGCTGCTGTCTGACGCCCCATATATTCCCAAGATTTAGAGGAGAAGCTTAAAGTCACAGAAATATAGCAGATGTTGTCACATGCTGAACTAGAGAATAGATAATTATTTTTTTTCTTAGATGCACTGTTTTTATAGAAACGAGAGGGAAGTTTAGAAAATGCCAATTAATATGCCAAGTTAAGGCTTCGGCTAGGTGTCACGTTTAGACTGTCTTTACCTCTCGTGTTTCCGTTTCTTTTAAAAATTTTACTTCTGAGGTTCAGAAAGAATCTACTTGCCTGAATTTAAGAACCATTCACGAAAAGGCAGCATAAAGTTAAAGTAATATTTTTATTACTATTTGCAACAAGTCAGTTGTGGGGCACATCATCTGACCTTGGCACCGAAATACATTTAACATCAGTAAAACTTTTTTTAAAGGGAGATTTTGTACATATAGTTAAATAATTTTTCACTTGGTGACAACATTCAGGCAAACAGGAGAGCATAAGAAAAGGACTATACATGGATTGGAAAATGTACCTTTCGGGTTTCGTTTTGAAGTTGCAAAAGTCCGATTGCTTCTTTTTGTGACTTTTTAAAAATTCACATTGGAGGACTGGAGGAGAGGCTCTTCCTTTCTTCCGTGCAAGGCGGTGAGAGTTTATGCCGGGAAAACCGTCTGCAAGTTTTTAAAGGCCGAGCTGCAGGTGGGTGGGGGGTGGCGGGGGCGCGTTTCTTTCGCCGCCTCTTTCCGTCGTCGTTCGCGTTAAATAAAAAGTTTTTAGGCGCTGTTGTTGTTTATGGAGGGCGAGTTTTGTGCGCGGGGGTGTTAACCCTATAGCTTGTCGAGGCTTTTGGGATTGGTGAGGATTTCCCTGGCTAGCCTCCAGGTCTGTTTGGCAGCGCTTTCGAGGGCCGAGTGGGGTTTGCCCTGAAAGAGGTCTAGGTTGGGCAGGAAGTAGTGGGGGCAGCGCCGGCACTGCAGGCAGGAGATGAGCTGCAGGAGGATGCCGTTGAGCCGGTCACCCAGGCACGCCTCGTCCCAGTCGGTCTCCCGCGGGTGCTTCTCGCACTCGTACAGCAGCAGCGTCTTCATGTGGTAGTTGTTGAGGGGCTGCCCGGGCAGCTCCAGGTGCCGGTCGCGCAGCGTCTTCAGCACCGAGAGGCACTTGTTCCTGCAGCCGCCCATCAGCAGCCGGTTCTCGGCTTCGCCGAACTGCAGCACCCAGGCGTCGCTCTCGGCCGAGCTCTGCTTGCCCGTCAGCGAGTAGCACTCCTTGGAGAGCAGGTTGAAGCCCTCCGCCTTCACCTCCGCCACCCGGTTGGGGCCGGGCCAGGGGATGTGGGGCATGGGCCACTGCGCCGCGCTGCGGGGCCAGATCCCGGTGCACTTGAAGGCGGGCGTGATCTGCACCACGTACCGCTCCCGGATGCGGAGCTTCACCTCGCTTGTGTCCGCGATCATCTTCACCACGTCCCGGTAGCTGCACTTGTCCACGGCCTGGGCCACCAGCGTCTGGAACCGGGAGCGGATCTTGCGGGCGGACAGGTAGCCCGAGGCGGTGATGAACTCCACCCAGAGGGACATGCTGCGCTTGCGGCCGTCGCTCAGCTTGAGCACGGCGCAGCCCGGCAGGGAGCCGTCGTCCACGAAGTTGAAGACGCCCATCTGGTTGAGGTAGAGCACCACTTCGAACTCGGTGGGCGAGATCACCTCCAGCCCCTCGTACCGGGCGTCGATCTCGCTCAGGGAGCTGATGAAGCGCGGCTCCTGCACCTCCACCTCCTTCAGCACGTCCGACACGACCTTGCACACCTCCCGGATGGTCTTGGCGATGGCTGCCTTGCGCGCCTGGCACCGCTCCGTGTAGTATTTGTTGAGCTGGTAGACCAGCTTGGCCTGCGCGGCGATCATGTTGGGGCACAGGTCCGGGCTGTACACCGGGCTCTCGCAGTACGTTGAGGGATCCAATGCTTTAGCGGTGGCTGCAGCTTTGCGGAG